TGAAAACATCCTAAAACAAGTCATTTTGGCAAGGGATGATGGAGAACAGGAAATGAAGGTAGATGAGTTGAGTCTGTGCTCGATACAAAGATTCTGCTCCTCTGTTAGCCCATTCAAAGTTTAAAGAGTAGCTCAGCCAAAAAAAAAAAAAAAAAAAAGTCCACCAATACCCTACCTCCTGCCTTACCCACTTTTGACAGGAATAAACACAGACTGGACATGCAGTCGCCATCACTGACAAACCCAAAATGCTAGTTTGCACATGCGTAAGATTATATATGCACAGACAGCAGTACATTTCACACCCACTTATACAGATTTTCAGTGATGCGTGCGGGGGCGGGGGGGATAGCAACTGTCTCCTGTGATTTTTTTGGGGGGGGGGGAGTATAGAATGCATTTGTGTAGTTTTGTTGTTTTTATTCCTTCCAGAAGAGCTTAGATTGTGCTATAGGGAGAGACTGCAAGGTCATCAAATTTTGCCTCAGGCTCAAAGATAAAGGTACCCTCCTGTGCTACCAGTTGAGGATTATGGAGGATGTATCAGTGTTGCACTATGTGATGCCCAGACAACATCTGTAGACATGGTAAGCTCCTGTTACAACTTTTCAATGCTACTTACATGACAGCTAAGAATCAAAGAGGATTATACATACATGATGGAATTCTCACTTTGTTAACTCCCACTCATTAGTGAAGAAAAACACTGAATACATCATTTAAATGTCTCTTTACTGTGAGGCATTGGAAGACTTCACGTACTACCAAATCAACTTTTGTCACCTTACATACCACTGCAAGCATTAGTGATGAGGAACATGCACAGAAAAATGCATCAAAACCCCCAATAGGAAATACAGAAAAAAAAAATAAAGGGAAAAAGATAGAGTGTCAGTCTATAGTCTCCATTACTAGGAATGATCCACAATAATTATATAAGAACAAGTAAAAACGTAATAGTAGGCTCAAGACAGATAATAATATAAAGAAAGTATTACATCAGTGTTTGAGGATTCCAGTCAGGTTAAGGAGTCTGATAACAATAAAGATGCAAACCCTCTCTGCTCTTATAGACCTAATCATTATTCCCCCCCCCCCCCAAAAAAAAAGCTGCATCATTAGCAATAGTCATTTTGACAATGCAGAAAATAGGTCTTTTTAATATTTAAATTTTCTTTTCAAGCTTGCAATTCTGTAATGCATTTGCCTTACTCCCACATGGTATTCAAAAAAGGTAGCAATACATGCCATACTGATGCTCTATAAGTGAATTAAAACTAGTTGATAATTTCAAGAAGTTAAGCAACAAAATCACTGTCTCAAAGGCAACTAGTAATGCTATCTTGATGGGCCATGCTCTCAAGTCCAAAATATTCACTGCCTTTCAAAGTGATTTAAGAGGAGTTACAGAATAAGAGTTGTCAAGTTTGCAGGTAAAAAGGCTTATTGACTCTATAGGAATGATAGATATACATCAGTTAATCATGCTGAGCTTCTGGGTAATGACAAGTTGAACAAAATTTAGAACCCTGCAACTGGTAGTACTACAACATATTTAGGAACAAAGAGCATGAGTCACATGCTACAGGACAGGGATCACATTAGCATATGGCCATAACGAAAGGACTTAGAAGTAGGGATGGAAAAACAACCTAGCATCAGCTTCAGCACTGCCCTGGGAGGTTTAACACAAAGATGAGCAGGGGAAAATACAGATATTAGCAGGAAATGGCATTACTTCTTTGTAAGACATTCAGGACAGCCAACCCTAACAAATGTCTCAATCTGCTGTCTATACATTAAATAGGACACAGATAACTAGAAACAGAAAAGAGGAGAGAACTAGCAGAACAATTTGAAGTTCTGAGGAGTAGAATGCCTACAGCAACTCCAAAGATCAATCTCTTAACCAATCTTCTCCTGGTTGACCAAAGAGGAGCAACCTATCACATTCCATTATTAGTCTTCAGAGGCAGGATTGCTGCTGCTAGATTAAATAGCTGACAAAAGTCTATGTTAGACAGCTTTATATATTCAAATCAGGTGTATTTTTTGAGAATAATTGCTAAAATGAGAGACATAGCTTATTGATCCAAAAACTCTGGTGATGAACAAGTCTTAATGTGCTGTCCCCTCCCCTGCCCACCTCTTGGCGCCTCCCCCCCCCCCACCCCATTATGCCTTATGTCAAAAATAAATTCTGTAATCTTTGTTGAGAATGGACTTGTCTGCCTTTAAATTTATGCAGGTATGGAACTTTGCATATTTGAAAATATCCAAAGAAGGAGAGGAGAAAAAAGAATAGGTTAGTTTTTCTCTCTACGTACACCAATTGTACCTGTTTGGAGAAAGTTACATCCACATCAAACCTTCCACCAATATCTCTAGTTATATTGCTCCTTTTTTGCACTAGAAGTCTGTAGTCAGCCTGAAGAAGTTACCCCAACTGAAGAAAGAGCTGATGAAGAGAATGGTTCAGAATCAAAATAATTATTTTAAGAAAACAAATATCAGATCTCAAAACAGTAAAGGTAACATTTTAAGGAAGGGACAGAGAGTTGTATCTTAAGGGAGGAAAAAAGTAAATATTTCAGCCTAACGGGAGAAATACATCACAAGGAAAGGTATCAAGCATATTTAGAGAGTGTATAAATCTCCCATTAGGATTCTTGTCCTCTTTATCCTATTCTCTAGGGAAACTCAGTGCTACTTCTCCTCCTCCTGTCATTGCATTATCTGGAACACTTGGCAGTTTACTGCTCTCAGGTGCCTCCTGTGACACTAAATTAGCATCAGAAGTACATCCACAGTGTGCTGCTCTATAAGTTCCTTTACTTTGTAAATAAAGGAAAAGTCCATCCCGGCAAGAGCATGCGTTTATGAACGTAAGCTTCACATTACTACGTGCAATGACGTTCTTTTGTTTTAAACTGCAAAGAATGGGATAATTGCACAATACCTGTAACAGTAATCTAGTGAAGGAAACAGAACGCCTTCTGCTACTGCTTTCCTCAAGCAACACAAAAATCCCAGGAGCTCTTAACAGCTAAAAACAGTTATTGGCCATTACACTATGCCACAGGCCCATTACACTAAGAGCTACATACATAAGATCAGAACTGCAAGCATTCATGCACCTGCTTACCTAGCTGCAGAAACAGATACATAAAAATAATAAAAATTAAAAAAAGCAGTGCATTCTGGAGAACTTTAGAGTAAAGAATATGCAACGACACACTAACTAAAGGTGCAGAGAAGACAAAGCCAAATATATAAAAAAAACTCTGCACAGGCAAACTACACGTGTACGTCCTTATAGTTTTAAAAGCTACAACAGTAGTTCTCACAGCCAGTTTCAGCTGGACAAACTCTACAGGGAAGACATTACCAGACATATTATTTGATAAAAGCACACAACTTTTAAAACAGTGAACTTACCAGCAGGGCTATGGCAGCTGAAGCAGAAAATAATCCTTTTATACAGCAAGATTCATTTTCACATGCATACAAAAATTTCTGCATACCTACCCAAACCTATAATGGAAGTCTAGCCAGTATACAAGGACTACTTTCCAAGATGCTGGGTAAATGTCCACCTAGAAGATTAAAGTTTTTCAAAAAGGGCAAGTGAGGGCTCTTTCTTAAAAGAAACTGCACTTCAGCATGCATGTTGATGGTGCAACTTTCCAGATCTGTTCCTTACACAGGAAAACATGGAAACATTAGGATTTGTTCCAGATCTCTGAAAACATTTCAGTAGGGTAGATGGGGCCAAATAGAAAAAGAAAGCCAAAGTCATGCGAGGGAAGAAGGTAATCAATCCATGGCGAGGGCACGTTAAACAGTAGTTCTACATAGGGAGAGCAGCCAGAAGTAGTTTGTGGACAAGATACTGTGGCTGAAGGCAGGACACAAGGGCAGGTTATGTGCTACCTATTGCAGATCAAGAGGGAGAGTTGCCTTCATGCTTCAGCTGTGCTTCTGGGCTTTGCTGTGCACAGCATTTGTGGACTGAGATCCATAAGCCAGTTGTTAGGGAAGGACACATCTGCTCCCGAAAAGGACAAAAGACATTGCTCAACATCCAGAAGTGTTTCAGCGCTGTGACTGTGGCTTCCGCTTGTCTTCTCAAACACCAGTCAGTGCAGAAGCACAACGATCACACCTGAGCACCTGCCAAAAACCCCCTCAGAGATATTAATAACACAAAAGAACGAGAAAGGATATGCCTTTTACTTCAGAATTATTTCTGTACTGTGCCACTAATTCAGGTCTCCTCCTTCCAAGAGCCAACAGGAGCAACTAAGGAAATACCAGCCTCTAAGATAGACAGAGCACCTAACGGCCCTACCATCCACAAGCCCGAATGATGCGCCAAAGCATGTCCAGTAGGCTGACCCTGTGTTAGAGGATTGTTCTTCCTTCACCCTAGGCAAGTAAGTTAAATAAAGATTCTTTTCTTTCAACACCCTGAGGAATAATTTAGTAAACTCTAGATGCTTTAAGCCTTCTACTCTATAGCAAAATGACCCTTAACTGTCGTCATATCATGTATGTTATGTGTATAATTATACTACGCTTAAGTGTCGTAACGGAAGCAACTGACCCAGGAGATTGTTCCATTATTGAATGTGTTGGAAAACGGTCATCACAAGACACAAAAAAACAGAAAATATTTTCCAGTCTTGAAGTGGAATTTTTAAACAGAGGCATCTACCCCATTTCCTTTTCCTATTTGCTCCAGGCATTTCAAACCTCTAGTATAGTATCTTTGTCTGATCTTGAACCTGAAATCCTACGGAAACGCATTAGTTACGTCTGGCTTTTGCGTTATATTCATTCTATATTCACACAAAAGGGTAGTATTTCAATAGCACCAATGATAATGGCTTTGCATTCTTTAACCGTGTCTCAAGGTGCAACTTCAGCACTGGAATTTGAGACATTTCTGTTGTTCGTGTCTCATGCTCACATCTTAGGTGATCTAATTACATGTTTTTAAGCAGAAATAAACAAACATACAAAGTCTGAGATTTAAGTGCTATAAGAATAATATCCTAATAAAATCCTTTTAATTTCCTGATATTTATATATGGGGGTAAGCTGGTCTCCGGCTGAAACTTCAGAACGGTATATGCTTAATTATAAATGTAACTGTACAGTGCGAGTACTAATTCACTGCCATTGTCTAATCTGATCTATGTTTATGAATAAAGTGCCTGCTGCTGTGCACAGATGCTGTACATTATATACTCAAGCCATTTATGCTAGAAGCCTGCATTGGCAAAGATTTCATTTGAACGTTCCAAGATGATCTACAGGCAAAAATCACTCACAGATTGCATAAAAACAAAACAAACGAGAAAAACCCCACACATTCATTAAAGAGATGATATGCAACCACTGCACTAAAGCAATGGCCTTACTCCTGAAGCTTTCAACTTCTTGCCTTATGATTGTTGCACAAAGTAAATAGCCAAAAGGAAGATATATTGTTTGTTTAAATATTAATAATATTTAAATATTAAGTGATGTTTGCACGGAGTATGTCTGCGTATATGACATTAAAGCATGAGAATATCAGTACTCTGATCATCTCCTGCAATAATACAAGAAACAAGCTAAGAGGCCAAGACGGGCTAAGAAGGTGGTAGCCACCTTCTTCAAACCCAGCTATGAGAACTTCAATAAAACAAAACATTTTGCCTTCAATTCAGAACTTTCTGCTCCCCAGGGGTTAAAGAGAAACCTGTGATTTATTGCCTGGTACAATTTTTACTAAACCCCAAAGCCACTAACAAGACAGTTTCTCCAAGGGGTCCAACTACCATACCCATTTACCGCACGTTTTTCTTAGTATCACGGTTCATTCAGTTAAACAAAATAGTACAGTAAGTGTTTTAACCTGCTTTAAAAGCTTTTATATAAGAGAAAGATATCCAAATGAGGTATTACCGGATTTAGTCTTCGTTACCCATTACTCTGGTGCCACAGACTTACTTTAAAGCACCAGTAACCTACATTTTTTGCAACAGTGATCAAGAAGTATGCACTTGATCTGTTCGTGAAAAGCTATGAAAGTGTTTCGCTAGGTCACAAACCTAGACAAGCAGTTATTCGCTCCGATCCTCTGGCTCTCGGTATTTCCACTGGATGTAGTCAAAGATGTCTTTTTCACATTCTACTGGTAGAGCCTCCCCAGCGACTCCTGCAAGCGTATTACGGATGAGATTTGAAAGGTACTGCCCTGAACTGCCAAACGCGTTGCAAGATTAAGACAAACTGCTGTCAACCAAATGGATTTGCACAGAAACTAAAGATCTTTTCATACAGTCACAAAGATGTTTAGGTGTTAATTGCCACTGGTGCCAAAGGAGATAAGGTATCCAATTATCTTTGGGGCTATATGCTTACCAGTTTTTGTTTTTTGAAAGAGAGTATAGATGGTCAGCCCACTCACCCTCCCAAAATAAAACAACTAAAAGATACAGGAAGTCTTGTCGAAAGAGCGCAAAACCAAATACGTGCTATGCATGACACTCACATATCCAATCTTTAGGTCAACAATAAAACTGTAAAGTAGATGAGGTGGGCTGAAGAGGTAACTTCATGCTGCCTGTACATAAGTTGCCTCTCCCTGCTACGGTGGCATCCAATTTCAGCAAGAACACAGTGAAAAAGTTCAGTAAACTACAGTATTTCCTGAAGCATTTCCAATACACCGAGAAAACAATTTAGGGAGAGGATCACACAGAGCGCATAACTAGAAAGAATATGCTGCATAAAGGCCTGAACTGACCTGTGATGCCCAGGGGACGGATCGTATACTCGTTGATCGTGAAGCCCATTTCCAGAGCATGAGCTCTCATGTTCTTATTGAATATATCACTGCCTGTGAAATACAGTACACCACAGTAATACTGATCTTTCGGAATGAGCCTGGGACAAGAGCGAAAGAAAAGTATATACTTAGGACAAATATGAAGTTACAAACCATTTGAGATTCAGTCATTCAGACATTCTTCTAGATTTACTGCCTATTCAACTGCACACGTGCTGGACTTTACACTTCATTTTCCAAGAAGCCTGATGCAAGAATGAAATACAAATCAAAGGAAGGTACAGCACAACTGCCCTGGCCTATAAATTATTGGTGTTCAACCACTGCATAGTTACGGCGCTTGCATTCCCGCTAAGCATTATTGTCAAAGCAGCATGATAAAGTAGGTCGTAATGGATATGAAGGAACCTGTTTTGCAGTCATGAGTTGAAATACAGCGTTCTTGCTAGTAACCTGTTCTAAAGACTGGCAGCTGTACAGTGGCTTCCATACTACATGAAGGAATTAGAAGACCGGTAAATGCCATGTTCTCTATGTGAAAGTAGAGATTAGAATGCACAACATCAAACACATGCCTACGATGGATCAGTGAGCCAAAGTATTTTTTAGGCTTACCGGATATCAATTCTCCTATGTGGATAGGCTGTTCCATCTTCTTTATTTGGCAGCTGACAGACACCCTGTGAGGAAGCACGGCAAAGCAAGAAATTAAAAAGGAAATAAAACAATTTTTCAGTCCCATAGGGCTTGAATAACTCTCACCTCCCACCCCGGGCAATCTTTTGAAACGCACATCTCCAAATGAACGTAGTTCTGGGTTGATCATCAGTCATCTTGGAGAGAAAAGTTAAATCCCTACTGAACTGATTAGTTAAATACGTTATTAGAACAGCTGGATGTCAAATAGCAATATAAAACAGTGATTCAGAATACTAAGAGGACTATAGTTCAACTTGGTGTATAACTACGTCTTAAATTGGTATTAGAGCAGGAAGGACCAGAAGACTCCCACTTTTTCTTCCTCTGCCCTAATTATTATCAGGCTGTTCACTATGCACAGATGTAAATAACAGATCACAGCAGCTTAAGGAAAACGCAGACAAAGCTCAAGCCTATAGAAGTAAAAAAAGGGGAGTTTTTTTTCTTGAGAACTCTTCTGCCACTTTTCATATCAAACTGCCTTATAATCCCTCTATAATTAAATTTATATATTTTTTTCTTTTTTTTTTTTTAATATCTAGTCTGTAATCACCTAAAATGATAATGCAGTTAAGTGGGGAAAACAATGAAGCATAACAAGTAACAAGACATGAGTAGACCGTCTTGTAGATTCCAGCTTCACGCCAAGATTTCCCCTTCTATTCTTAGCTTTATTTTGAAAGCTAAACATCGCCCATATCTTTAAAGGTATGCAGTCTGTCTGTCTGCAATCACATTTCCCTCTTTGGCAACACTTCTTTATCTTCTACTTCGAAGACGGGAACTATTCCAGAGTTACTTCTTAAAGCTATGACAGGATTAGACAGAGCTAACAGCCAGACTACAATGAGCTTGTAGAACTGTGAATGCCAACCGAGATGCACAGTGTTTCTGCTTTAGCTCACAGATATATATTTAGCTTTAAATCCACACAGAACTCACACACAAACTTTTGGACAAGAACAAGAGTGACTTTCACTTATCCCTCCTAAAGCCACAAAAGAACATCAAGTTTCACTTCACTCCCTTGGACTGCAACACAAACTCAACTGAAGACAAATTACTATTGGATTGTTTAGCTCTTATTTCAAGTAAAGAAAAAAACCCAAACAAAATAAAAAACTCCAAAACACACAACAAACCATGAAGTGCTCCAACAGCCCTTTCATCTTGGGAAAACACACACATTTAACTGCAGTAGAAGTATTCATGCCTTCCAAAAGATTAGCTGAATATAGTAATTTTATTCTCAAATAGAAATTCACATGGCAAGGCTTTCTGGTACATGCTTCTGCAGGACCACTCCTACAGCCTTCCAAGGAATTTCATAAAGCTAGTATCAGTGACTGAGTGGAACTAATCAGTCTCCATTTCTGTCCACTGTTGCTTATGGTTTTACTCCTGTTAGAATTGGCCTTTAACCAGCCCGTAAGACCAGGATACCTGGGACCTGTAAAGCTAACGCTTAAGTGAAGTAAAATAACCCACTGTCCCCTCGCAAAAAAGTTTTGTTGTGAGCAAGGAACCTCACAAAATGCAATGTCTACACCTCTTTTAATTCACTACTTCCATTAGGCACCTCCCACATTCCATATTATATCCCGAATCTACTAGCTTACCCTCTAACTCTGCTCTGCAACAAAAGACACGGAAAAGGAGAACAAAAGTATAGCATGTATTAGATAAAACAAAGTAAAGATATAGCCGAAATTAGAGATTGCGTTTCAAGGTCTTTAGGACAGAGTAACAAAAAGGGGCAAAGGTAAGGTTGATATGTAAGGCTGAAGGTATGACAGCGCCAAACTTGAGGGGAAACATTAGGCAAAATAGAGATACAGGCAACATAGTTACAAAGGTGATTTCAGTGAGATTCAGAACTTGTGTGATCAGGAACAACTACCTAAACACCTGTAGATTTTCTAATCCTGAAGCCTTTACAAGAGAGAGTCTCTAGGCAGAAACTACCACAATTTTTATTAGGGGAAAAAAAAGTCACAATTCTGACAGCCTAAACAACACATTTTATATATACCCTAGCTTCTGTCGTGAGCCGTAACCCCATCACATCCCTCACTTCCGAAAAAATCCTTACCATGAATTTGGTGTCACCTTTAGACAGCGTATCTGTGACAAAGCCAACTTCTTCCAGTTGTTCTACAACTTGATGCAAGAGTTTTGACTAGGAATAGTGACAACAACAACAACAAAGTTACTTTACAAATAAGAATCTTCCTTGTTTGCCAAACAATGGCTCACATAAATAGAGGTGCATCACTGTAGTTTTTTTGTATGTGAAGTCTGGCCAAGGGAAAGAGTAGAATGGGTGAGGAGGGGGGTGGGGGGGGGAGGGGAAAGCACTTAAAAAAAAAAAAATTGCAATTGTGAAACCATAAGAAAGTTTTCCACCGAAATCTGTCAGATTGAAATGAGAAAAAAAAAAAAAAACACAAAAAACTGTTTCCTAGTTTGAGTTTTGAACTTCCAAAGCAATGAATCTATAGACACAATATACACAAAGGAAAACATCATTAGGATTGCCTCAGAGTTAGCCCAGAAATATTATCTCCACAGTAGGATATTTGCTTCTCCTCCAAAGAGCTGTGGCTACATAAAAAGAGATGCTTTCGTTGCCTTCAATCAGTGCTTTATGCTGCTACGTTAGCGGTAGCTGTTACAACTGAGGTTGTAAAAATATGCAGATTTGGGGGAGGGGAGGGAATTGGAGGAAAGGATAAGAGTAAACATACTAAATAGTTCTGCAAGAAGAATACAATACACAGATGTGAGAGATGACTGTTACTCCTCCAAATAAACGTGTTGCTCAAAGAGAGTATAACTATTACAAGAACAAAAAAAAGATTCAAGACACTGCAATACAACTCTAAGGTTGCATATCCTCCAAATGTAAATATAGCCTTCTGGGAGTAATGTATAGTACTGATCGATCATAACAGAGAAACATACCTGTTTGGATGATTCAGATGTGAAACTTGGATGGGTTAGGAGAACATCCATATCTCCGCTTGACTCTGCACCTAGGAAAGTAAGAAGCAAGAAAAAGTCCCTGTGTAAACCCTGCTGTCCATTTTAACAAGACCAGTTAAAGTTAAGCTTTATGCCTGAATTCTGATACTCGTCACTGACAGAAACTATATTAACTTTGATGGACATTCACTTAACCTGTTCTTATAAACATGGCTGTATAATAGAGAGTAGCCAAAGACCATCCAAGACATTTGTGGAAAACCGATCAAGAGAACGCTGCTTCCGCTTCAAACAAAAGGAGCTAGCATCACCCTACGTCTCAGGAAACCCTCCAAAACTTCCTGCTATACTCTACAGTAATGAAGCACAGATGTTGTTAATGTAAAACAAAGCAAACCATTCATAGCGTATAATGCGCTACTCTTATCAGGAGGGGCGGACTTCAGACTTATGCGAGTGTTTCATCGCTGCACTAATCAGCCAAGTTATACTAAAACAAAAAGCAGGGTTCCAACATCAAGTCAATCTCCAGAAGAACAACATATATTGAAGAGTCATAACAGCAACTTCTGAGTCACATACACATCAGTAAACATGCCTTCTTATGAGCCCGAAATAAACACAAGATCACATGGCACCAACCTCGTCTAAAACTGCCACATACTGTAGCAATATAGTTTGGGTCCAGCTTCTTTACTTCTTTCAGCACAATTTCCTATAGAAAGAGAAAAGATGGGTGATTTGAGATGTCAGTCATTCATTTGCCCTCATTGCCTCATGTGCTTAACAGAGACTTTCTTACTTGCATTTGCAGCATTTCTTTCCTTGGGATTCTTTTCTCAAAATCTTCAAAATATCTGCATATATAAAAATAAAAATGCCTGAGGGAGAAGTAGTGGCAACATCTAAAACTTTTACTCAGTGAAATGCATATCAGAAAAACAATACAAATTATATTACTGTTATGTCACAAATAAACTTCCCCTTTCTCACCACAGACAGCTTGAAAGCAACACCTTGCAAAGCAATGGCAAACTTGCAACTGAAGGTCTTAGAAGATGGCTTCACTGCATAATTTTGCCTTGTATCTGAAGAGCTGCTGTGAGATGGGAGTTATACTACCATATGATCAACTGGTTTACATTTACATAGCTCTCCAAAAATACAAAAGGTAGTTCACAAAACTCAATCCATCAGCAATAAGCAGGAAAAGGTCACTCACCCTTGGTCAGAGGTGACCTAAGTTGCCAAAATCCAAACAGAAGCTCACAAGCCAAATACAGAGCTTCTGAAACATCTACGCACAGAGCTGTAGAAAACAAACTGCCAGTGTATAATGTGACTTCGGAGGAAAAGAGGCCAACTGAAACAATGGTGTACCGCCTGCCTGACCAACACCAGAACCATTGACAGGAAGCCCTGGCAGCAGCACTGCGGCCTGGGAGCGCTACATATCCACTGACAGTCATGATCCAGCCAGTCCAGTTTCAAGCACTACAGACAAGGGTTCTGCATATGGGACAAGTTAACTGCTTTTTTTCAGGCAAGTTGCAGCACAACTAGGGACAAAAAGACCATACAGCACTAAAACCATTCTTACAGCTCAGTACTTTCGGGTGGCTCTGAAACAAGACCTGAGTACAATTCCAGGAGCAGGCTGAAGGGCACTAACAACATGTAGGGATCCTGGAGAGATCAGCTGGGTTATCTCATGCTCGCTTAACAATGAAAAAAGTTTTTCCTTAAATGCTACATGTCTATAAAGACAGGGATGCACACCAGAACAGGACTCTATCAGATAAAGAGCAGGAAAATGACAATCACTGCATAGCCCTTGTTACTCACTGGTGTAAGTTTGTCCAGGTCACGGATTCTGCATCTCTGCCACTGACGCAGAAACACTAGAGCTGGCCCCAACCAGATATATGAGCTGGCAGAACCAACCAGATTATATGAGGGTTTAGTTGATTCACTTGCAGCTTCTTGCAAACCCAGCTATAGTCCTTCCAGGACCAGCACAGTGGAGCAGTCACTTGGCAAGCGACAATCGAACTAGTAAGTCCAGAGAGAAAAGCACACGCTCTGCATGGCTTTCTCAAGTTCAGACATCGCAAAAGCTCTACCTTGCACAAAGCGTGACAAAAACGCCTCAGGGCACTTCCGTAGCACTGTGTTGAGATAGCAGGCTCTTTCCAAAACAGATTGCTGATGTAACCTTGCTAAAGTGTTTCTCCATGAGCCAACTGAAAAGTCATTTGGAAATAATTCCCTTCTAGATGGAGATTAAGCCTATGAATTTCAACTCCAATGAAACGAAAACTCTGAACTTCTGAAAAGCATGTAGAGCACACAGACAGAACCTTACTTGGCCGCTGTAATCTTACATTACATCCTAGTGTTGAAAGGAGTCATTAGAAAAGCCAAGAACTTGCATCCAAGAAAACCTACTTCAACCCAATTCGCTGGTGATGGTTCAGCTTGTGTTCATTTTTTCTTAGATCTAGAATAATATTAAAAAAAAATTCAAGTATTAAAAGTTTTATGGTAAGATTTCTACAGTACAAAGATGACGCAAGTGAAGAACGTGCAACAAAACAGCTACCTCACAGACCAACTAAAACATTTTAATGGCAGCCTGGTCAACAGCTGACAGCGTAAGTCAAAATGCACGCGGCACTGTCTGATAAAGCCTGACTTCAACAGGCCATTCGTCTGTGTGACAAAATCCATGTTGTTTTCTGTGAAGTCTGTAAGCATCTTACTCTGGAAGGTATAATGCGTTCACTCTGTGCAATAACTTTATTTTTTTAAAGCGCTTTCATCAAAAACTAGATGTAATTGCTATCACAGTACCACTCTGAGACAGGCAGCTGGACAGAAGAAGTGATACTGCAGTGTGAACTGAGGACCCAAAGACAGCATATGACATACACTCACCCTCTAAAGTCTTAATTCCTTCCTCTACAAACTTCCTAGCAGCAGCAGGACTGCAAAGAGACCAATTTGCAATCAGAAACAGTAAGAATCTCGTAACACTGAATAGAACATTAGAATTCATTATAATCCTCTAGCTTCTTCAAGACCAAGACGAAAGTCACTTCTGATGCTTGCCGTACACTTGGCACACATATCTGTAGTCTGTACTTTCAGTTAGCAGAGATGGGTATCCAAGGCTTGGGCTGCACATTTTTAGTATTGATACAACTATATAGTGCTATACAATTGTTTAAAGAAAAAAGAAAGAAAAAACCACCCTCACCAAATAAGGAATATTGCTTTAGCCAACAACACTGGGATCTAATCGCATGCATGATAAGGACTACTTTAAACATAATCAGTCTTTGAGCCAAATTGTAGCCACAGCAACAGGATTGTATTTGAACCAGCACTTAAGAAATGAGGCTCCGGCCTGCAGCCTACAGTACAGCAAAGCAGTCCAAACTCCAGTTTGGCTGGAGAGTTTGTCATTAGCACCATACTTAAGTGAACGGTTGCCCTTTCTTCCCCAAAAGCAGGTGCAAAGAGCGAGCAAGCGGGAGAAAGGGGGGCAAAGAGAAAGCTTTACCCGATGCCAGTAACTCGGGTCAGAAAGTTGATAGATGCACTTGTATCATCTTGGCGAATCTGGAAAAATGAAAGAACACAGACCAAACCCTTCTGCACTCCACTTGCAATAAAGACAAAAAACTTGAGAAGATAATACTGCCCATTCAGATTCTGTTTTGGAGGCTTACTATAAATCAAAGCAAAGCAGAACGAAGAGTAATATTGTGCACCATGGCAACGCCATAGATACCAAGCCTGAAAACCCTCTGCCCTAACTACCTATGCTAAGGTAAACAGCACATTTAAAACTCAAAACTCCTCTGAGAAATGGAAGTCTGGATCCGGAAGACTGTGAAGACGTTCATATGCTGATGATATTATCCAAAATTTTTTCAGGAACAGGTAGTTTTGAGGCTTCAGCTGAGCTTCTTGTTCCCCAATTTCTACTCCCCATAAATTCCCTATCCACCATTCTCAGGTTTGACATCAGTTTCGCCAAAGATAATCCCCAAAGTTTCACAAAGTAAATAGGCTACTTTGCAAAGTGCAAAGAAAAGCAACTATTGTGAAGTATAGTGCACAGGAAAGAAGCCCACCTTTTCCAATTTGCGTAGTTTTCCAGTGGATAAAAACTCATCTATCTTCTCAGCTATTTTAGCACCTACTCCATCCTAAATATTGGAAGAAGAAGGGGTGGGGAGAACAAGAAGTTAACTTCCAAATCATTTATAGCCACTATAGCTAAGAAAAAAAAACCACCCAACAATAGAAGTTACAACACAGAATTTAGAGTCCAGTAAGAATTAGGAGGTCATTGAGATCATGAAGTAGTGCAGTACTCCATGGTAAAACGCAAGCTGCATCAACCATCATAAATGAAGGGCTGTATTAAAAGTCTCCTGAAAGCGATTGTTTGAAACCAGGCTTTGACTCTTACAACTAAAGGCCCAAAGGTTAGCAGGGCAGTAACAGAATAAAGGGGAATTTTTCCCCAACGGCAGCCTTTTACAAGTAGGGCTGCAGCCAGATGGACCGGGTGCCTGCAGTTCCGGCCATGAAACCTCTACAGCACTCCCCACTGCAGCCAACCCCACGCCCACCTCTGAGCCCTGACCCAGACATCACTGGAAAGGGGAAGAGCAGCAGAGCTGTCACAGGCAGGGTTGATCCCGTGCTGCTCCTGCCCCTTCCAGGAGCCCCTGGCATCATAGCCCCTGCCAACCTGAGGCCCTACCACCATGGTACAGGCACCTACCAGCTTCTTGGCCTCAGCCCCACTCTGGATCTTGCTGGGATACCGGGAAATCACAGAGGCTGCTTTTCTGCAAAACAGCACCAGTCAGCGACTGAACCAGGCAGCAGCACTGCCACCTCCGTCGGGGGGAGCAGTGCCCCCCTCCGACGCGACAGGGGGGCGCAGGTGAGTGGGCCGGATCCCGGGAACAGGCAGTGAGGTGGGGGGGGGAGCGGGCCCCGGAGCGGGGAAGGCCCCGGCGC